ACAACATAAATAATTTTTTTTTAAATGTAACTTTGTTTCCTAATGTTCAATAAAGCATCTTCAGAATACTGAGGTGTAAATCAGGGTAATATTTATTTTGAACTTTTCGATTATTTTTATATAACTCTGTAATTTTTTGGTGTCATTTATTTAATCATTGCTCACAATGAGATGCTAATCTAAAAGTCTTCTGAAAATCAAACCAAAACAGAATATTTTTCACAAATGCAATGGAGCATACACAATATTAAATGAAATACTTATATGTAGCTTTACATGGATAATTAGTGAAAATTATGACCTGTTCAAAAGTATTCAAGACCCACAACAGCATATTTCAGTGCATTTTTAAGAGCTTTAGTTTTTGAAATGTTAGACATTTTAAGACGCCGCGGACACCCTGAAAATTTTTAATCCCCTTTGAGCACAATATATTTTATTTTGGGAAACATTTAAAATATTTGGGAGCAGTAAACATGTCAGGCTATTAAAAACACAGATTTCTTTACAATGTAAAACCGCATATTTGGAGATTTTTTCTGCTGGAGATGCTGTTTTCCTAAAAAAGCAAATAAAAAATCTTGCATATACCTTAGGATTTGTATAGCAGAAAATGTTGCCGTTTTCAAAACCTTGACTTTTCCAAACCCCGGTATACCTTAAAAACAATTATCGTCCCATGCCTAGTGTGTGTGTGTGTGTGTGTGTGTGTATGTGTGTGTGTGTGTGTGAGAGAGACCTTACCTTGATATGATAAGTGTGAGAAACTCAACATGCACCCCTGAGCTGTCAGAACACAGTAAACACCGTCAGTGTATTTCTGCACACACACATTATAATCTGCTGTTTTACTCCACTGAACTCCATATGAGAGTCAGAAACTCTTCAACACAGGCCGATCTAAAGGGTTAATGCTGCACACTGATGATCAACAGTAGATATTGCACATTTGACCTCTTAATGCCAACAGAGAAATCCAGCAACAATCATGTCATGGCTGCATCCATACAATCTGATTATAAATGAGGTCAATGGAGCAGAAACAGCCCCAACATCACCAAAGGGGAGTCAATCTGAACAGCACACAAGGGTTAAGTTCATAGTCATCAAGGCCACTTAAAATAATGTGGGACAGTAGATCTGCATGATATATGTTTTATTAGTATATGATATATATTCTGATATGAGTACAATTTCAGCAGGTGACTTGAGTATCTGTATTTGGATTGGCATCTTCAGATTGATCCTGTAATGGAGTAAAGAAATAAGACAGAGCAGAGATGAAAGTGAAATGAGCAGTGCTTTATGGTTTTGCCAGGAGTCAAACTGAAGTCAGTTGAATAATCAAATGTAATGTAAATGAACACAGTCTCCACTGCTGATCAGCTATAATCAAACTCAACAGACACATGGAGATATCGATGCTGGAACAATATATTGTGCAGCCCCAGACCGTATGTGCAGTGTGCATCATGGTCATTTGGTCATCTTCTTGACCATCTCCAGCTCCTCCACTGGTTTCCACTGCTGGTTAATGGTGAGGAGCTGTAGTGAGATGGAAACCGCTGGTTAATGTTTCTCCGGGTTATCAGCAGCTCTATATGAGCAGTAAACACTGTCTAGAGTCAACATCACATTCACAGCTCAGCTTCATCCACAGCATCTCCAGCAGACGCGGCGTTTATTTAAAGCAGCACAGAATACATTCATTAACCTCTTCTGCTAATTAAAAACAGACGAGAGATAGGGCGGCACGGTGGCTCAGTGGTCAGCACTGTGGCCTCACAGCAAGAAGGTCGCTGGTTTGAGTCCCGGCTGGGCGAGTTGGTGTTTCTGTGTGGAGTTTGCATGTTCTCCCTGTGTTGGCGTGGGTTTCCTCCACAGTCCAAACACATGCGCTATAGTGGAATTGATTAACTAAATTGGCCATAGTGTGTATGGGTGTTTCCCAGTACTGGGTTGCAGCTGGACAGGCAATCGCTATGTAAAACATATGCTGGAATAATTGGCGGTTCATTCTGCTGTGGCAACCCCTGATGAATAAAGGGACTAAGCCAAAGGAAATTGAATGATGATGAGAGATAAAAACAAACATTTATTTAACATATTAATTCCTTTATTAATCAGGGGTCGCCCCAGCAGAATGAACCTTCAACTATTCCAGCATATGTTTTACACAGCGAATGCCCTTACAGCTGCAACCCATCACTGGGAAACATTCATACACACTCATTCACACACACACTCATACACTATAGTCAATTTTAGGATGCCAAATTCACCTGTACCGCATGTCTTTAGACTAATGGGGGAAACCGAAGCACCTGGAGGAAATACGGGGAGATTCTTTAACATATATATAATAAACACATACTTAATTAACACCGTGACTAGACACAGAGCACTAATGTGAGTGTGCACACCAACCGTAAAACAGCTATAAAAAAACAAAACATGCAAATTCTTTTAACCCAACAGGCCACTCCCCCTTTTTGATACGCCCCTTACTGCTGATTGGCTGCAGTCATGTATGTGTATGGCACTGTGATCTAAAGCATTTTTCAAACATCGCCTAACCACATAAGAATCCGTTTACCCCACAGTTTGGTGCCATGACTGGCCTGGCATGAGGAAAACAGATGCTTAGGAAACAGTTGTACATCTGTCTTAAAACAATGGTGAACATTAACATAACCTGTCGGTCCTGATCCACAAAACACACACGGAAATACATCGATTAAATTTTACCTTCTGTGGTTTTGATGGATCCAGCATCTCCCAGGGCTCGGGATTTCCCGTCTTGTTTAAACTGTAAAAGTCAAAACATTTGATCCCTCTTGAGCTTCTACAATGGTACACATTCACATTGCAGATTGCTTTCAGACCCGCTGGTGTCCCTCAGGCGCTTTCACATTGTTTTATGCGTGTTGAAATATTAATTTCATTTAAAGGCACAGTACACCCAAAATGAACATTTCACTGAAGTGATCCTACACTGCTATGAACGTCTTCTGGACAAGATATTGTGAAGAATCTGAACCTTTCAGCGTATCCTCCTTTGTTTTCAAGTGTAAATGACAGAGTTTTTCACTTTTGGATAAACTTTGCCTTTAAATACTGTTGGAAACTTAATTTGTAGATCACTATAATGAACATAAACAATACAGGTAATAGTTTATGCAGATTACCAGTAATGGTGTTTAATTGCATACAAATAAAGAGACAGGTTTCTCACATGACATCGGGTTTGGTCAGCAGGAAGTAAATCATGGTTGTTGTCGCTCCAAATGCAGCACAACTAACAATCCCAAGCAGAGGAATTAACTACAACGATAATGAGGAGCAATTATTATGTGATAATCCACTGCATATGTCAGACGGATGAAGATGAAGACTCCTTCCTCACCTCTTTCCTTTTCCTGAGCAACTGTATCAATCCTCCGTTCATCTTTCAGCAGTTACAGATTACTCCTGGAGAAAACAACACTCGGATCATTACTTGCATACAGTGTGAATTCCAGATGAAGGAGTCAACATACTGTAAAGACGAGTCTCGATGAGCTGATGATGGGAGAGAACAGAGCTGGAGGTGTAAATGCAGCATCATGGTGACTCTCCTGCTCTTATATTGACTTTGATATGCGTTTGATGGCACGTACACACCCAAAACAAAAACCACCATCACGCCCAAATATGACACTGTAATGTACAGCAGCGCCATCTCCAGGACTAACATGAACAGAGAAATGACCTGCCACTCACTCTACATCAGGGCTGCCCAAACTTCTCTTACAAAGGGCCAAAAACCAAACTTGACTGAGGGCCAAAGCGAAATCTACCAAAACATGTGACATTAAATTTGCCATGGGAAATTCCCTAATTTTTTCCCAGTGATGAGTTGCGGCTGAAAGGGCAAACACTGTGTAAAAACTTGCTGGATAAGTTGGCGGTTCATTCCGCTGTGGCGACCCCAGATTAATAAAGGGACTAAGCCGACAAGAAAATGAATGAATAAATAATTCCCTATTTTATTAGCTAATATTTAAAAACAACAAGAAAATGTTTCTTTAAAACAAATTAATTAATGATGCAGTATCATATTCAGCATTTTATAATGAACATATTACAGTAAAAACATAAACAAACCCATTTATTACACAATGGAGTTTAATGCTGATTACACTAGTCCTGCTCCTGCCTTTGCCTTGATTTGCTCACCCTAACCCTGATGTGTATGTATCTGTTAACTGACAGCAGGCCCCTAGCCAGGGGGGGTTTGGGTGGTTCGGAAGACGCACCCCTCACTGAGAAGGTCACAAATTTGTCCCATACATGAGCTCATGGTCTTATTTTGACTGCTGTGCCATCATGAATTGTAAAAATAAGTTTTCCCATATTTATGATGAGTCGAACATCCGGCTTTGCAAGTAAGCATACAATCTGAAGTAAATGACGGCATCTTTCGCTATTGAATTGTTAAATAGAGAAAACATTCATTCATTCATTTATTTTCGTTTCGGCTTAGTCCCTTTATTAATCAGGGGTCGCCACAGTGGAATGAACCGCCAACTTATCCAGCACGTTTTTACACAGCGAATGCCCTTCTAGCTGCAATCCAACACTGGGAAACAGAGAAAACATTTTACACCAAATTTAAAATACAAATTGTGTACCTTGTTATCCTCGAAACAAAAAAAATGACCAATAAAAGCACCAGAAGCGCACCATATTAAAATGAATTTGAATACTATTTTGTCTGTTGTTGTTATTCATGATCTTTCAAATGCACTTTTTTAGAGGCTAGACAATTATGAAGCACTAGATTATTATTATTATTATTATTATTATTATTATTATGTTTTAATTATTTTTTAATTGCCAAATTCTGACTGAGGAAAGTTGAATGTTTAGGCCAGTTTGTTATTTGCCTAATTAATGACAATAGGCATACGGTTTTTAATGTAAAACTTTTAACAGAATTTCTATTTCTTTTCTAAAGATATATCATGTAATAAATTTGTATTTAAAAAATATGTTTTTTTCATTTATTTATTTTACAAAAAGTGTGAGTATGATGACCATCCGACAATATAATCCAGCTTAAATAATGCTTTAAAATGTCACTAAAATGCAGCATTAAAATCTCATTATTAAATAAAAAATGAGGCGTATAACAAAAAAAGATTTACTTTTGGAGAAAAAAGGACCACCCCTTTCACCAGGCTGGTCAGGGCCTGGACAGTATTTACATTTTAAAAGTGTGTTTATTTACAACATTTAATTGAAACGCTTGATTTCAGCTGGCTTTTTGGTAGCTCTTCAATAACATGAAGAAACTAAAGTTTACATTAAATTCGAAATGATGATTTCTGTCAAAGACATTTCGCAAACATTAGCGATGTTATTGTTTACGTTCTGCTTACGTTGGCTGGACAACTGTGACGTCTGACGCGCGAATCCTAGAAAGGCGCGAACTTCATGACGATGACGGTCTGAGGAGAATGCGAATCGGTCAGTTTTCCGTTAATTTTAGTCGTAAATAAAGACGAAAATACTTTTTTATTTAGGTATTTAAAAGCTCTAATGCATTTGGATAAATTGTAGGAGCTTATTTTGAACCACACTAATGTATTCTGTGTATATACAACTCTTTGTTAATGAATGCTGCAGCGTACTGTATTATTAGTATCATCAATTGATAAACTGGATTAAATACTGTTTTATAGGCTACTTTAGTTTTACTACAGTAAACTGATGAATTGTAGTGTAATATACTATATAGTTGTAGAGAACTACAGAATTAAGTCATTTATTTACATTACTATAGTTGTATAACCATAAAAACGTAATTACCTCAATAGATTAATTCTGGTAATTTACTATAGCATGTAAAAAACACTTTAATATACATAACGAATGGTTTTTACTGTTTTGGGCACTGAAGTAATTTACTCAGCTACACAAGCTGCTTTCTTAATCTTTCAATATTCATTCTGGGAAAAATATTTAATATTATGTAATATTTCTTATTTATGCTGGAACTTTACACATATCTACTATTTTTTGTCATATCTAGTTAATTTTTGTTAGGTGATACATAGATTTAAATCTTATATAAATTAAAAAAACCCTTATGATTCAGATCATTTGTTTTTAAACACTGGAGAGCGATAAAGGTTCAGTGATCATTGTTTTAAGATTATAAAATGTAAATTAAATAACTAAAACATATTTGTAGTACAATGTTAATATAATTAAACTTCTGTTAAATTTACAAATGAAGTCTAGGCAATTAAAATTTCTGTATATAAGTAATAGTATATCTTTATTAATCACAGGTCAACCAAGAGCAGCAGCAGGCAGCAACCATTTTAATTTTATTATATTTATTTACATATTCATGTTTATCAACATGGTTTTCGTATATTTTTAAGTGTAACTGGGGGTTATTACAAGACTTTTGAACATTTATGAGTTTAAAATGTAATTAATTATTGCTATTAAGTGTTAATTCAAATGCAGTTGATATTTTTATATTGTGCCCTTTAGCTAAAGACATTAAGAATGACCACCGGAAGCATGGATGATAACAAAACCTTTTTATTTATTGTAAACATGTTTATTGGAGAGCTGCATGTATGTTCTGCTGAAGTTGTTCTGCACTCAGTGACGGACTCAACATCTGAAGCGCCTTCAGAAAATACTTCTGTCTCACGCAAGAAACGGCGAGTCCATCCTCACGCAGAGCCAACAGAGCCGCCTGAGACACACACAAGAGTCCAGCTTTACACATCTCAGCAGGAACAAATGAGTTTCTTATGGTGAGTGTGTGCTTTACCTCTTTACAAAGGTTTTCTAGATCAGCTCCAGAGAAGAGCTCCGTTTGAGCCGCCAGATCCTCCAAACACACATCCTGATGCAGCGGGACGCTTTTAGTGCAAATGCGCAGCACAGCCAGACGAGCCTGTTGATGAGGCGTACATGAGAATACACACACACACACACACACACACATCAGACACATGGAAAGGTTCATGCCAAGTCACATGCTTATGCAATATTTTGCAGTTTTATATAATTCTTTAAGTTCTGAACAGAATAAGTGCATTTTAAATTCACCGCTGATGTACTTCAACTGATAAAAATATGTGTGAAATGTTAAACTGTTCATGCACTCAAAGTGGAAGGGGAGGAGAAAATGATGAATGGGAGGGGCTACTTGTAAATCTGAGGAGCTACAAATAAAGGGGAGGGGCTGCTGATTTAATGGAGGAGCTGCTGATGAATAAGGGGAGGAGCGACTGATTAATGGGAGGAGCTCAGGGAAGGAGCTGCTGATAAAAAGGAGGAGCTAATGATGAAGGGGAGGAACAGCTGGTGAAGGGGAGGAGTTATCGATGAATAAGGTTGTATTACTGTATTTATTTTGGATTGTACACACTAAACTCTCCTACAGAGGCAATTACACCACCTCCTGATGATGAATGCATTTAAGCTCATGACAGCACCTGTTTGTTAATTTGTTTATTTATCTGACTAATTTATCAACTGTTAAATGTGAATTTCCGGTTAGTAAAAAACACCTTTAGTGTTCTATTTTGTACTACACTAATCTCATACACTACACTGTTGAGTCTATGAGTGTTTAGTGTGTCATTTAGGATGCAACTGAAAACAAAACCTTTATTTTTCCTTTATGCATTCTCCCAATCTACAGCTGGAGTCACACTTGACAATCTACAGAAGCAAAAGCTGTGATATGACTTTACTGATACTTGTTTTTAAAGACTGCATACTTTTAATTCAGGTAAAAGGTCTTCTTGTAATGTATTGGTCTTCTATACATTTATGCAATTAATGTTGCCTGATATGATTATGAAAAAGTCAATATGGCGGTTTAATATTGTGAACAATCAAGCCATGCATTAATTAATTTACATGCTTTTGATCAGCCAAATGGGTGTGGGTGAGGAGTGGTCTGGGTTTGAAAGGCTTGTTTGTTTGTGTGTGTGTGTGTGTGCAGGTCACCTGGAGGTCAGGAGGAGGCACGTATATGATCTGGTCGAGTCGTCCAGGTCTGAGCAGAGCGCTGTCCAGAGCCTCGGGTCTGTTAGTGGCGGCCACAATCAAAACATCCTTATTGCACACTTCCTGCAGCTCCATCTGAAATGTAAGTCACATGCATACAAGATGCATCACTTCAACAATGAGTGCATTTACATAAACACCAACCCTCAGATTTTAATATGATTAAGACGATGCTATGATTAAGAATCTACCATGTCTTAATCGTATTAAACACAAATTGAATTAAGACATGGGGTATTCTTATTTTAGTTGCATCATTGAAGTTCAGTATAGTTGTAAACACTGTAATCAAACTATTAGCGGCATGTAGGAATTTATGTTATTATAGTTATATGTAATAAAAAAAAAACAAGTCCAAAGACATGTGGTATAGGTGAATTGGCTAAGGTAAATTGTGCGTAGTGTATGTGTGTGAATGAGTGTGTATGGGTGTTTTCCAGTGATGGGTTGCAGCTGGAAGTGCATTTGCTGCATAAAACATATGCTGGATAAGTTGGTGGTTCATTCCGCTGTGGCGACCCCAGATTAATTAAGGGACTGAGCTGAAAAGAAAATGAATGAATATAATATACATTTTGTAAATAGCCTACATAATCCACGATTCAAACAGATCCAAAGATTTTCTCCTTAATTGCATAATAACTCCACACCAAACTGAGGCATCATTTTACAGCTTATAAAACATGTATGCAAATTAATGCAATGTGTAAACAACAAAATTGTTATACAAAAAGTCAACATATGAGCCTTAAGGTTCATTGTCATTGTCTTTCATCGCACGCAGTGTGCGCACACATGTACCGCGAGTGAGATGAAGGAAATAAATCATAATCACAAGACATAATCTTTAATATAATGACTTCTATTAAAATGTTGACTGAGGTTTTGTGATATAATACTAACAGCGCACATTAATTAAATGCATGTTGTCTGTGGAGTGATCGATTTGATGGACGGATGTTTTTATTTGACAGGAGAAAAAAACATGATTGGACAAACAGCCTGTGCCGGTTCTTAAAAGCATTCAGTCAGTGTTTTCATTTGTAATCTAAATTTATAATTTAAGTGAAAAATATCTAGGGCAGGACTATTTCTTTTATTTAGTTTATTCTTTATTTCTATGCTGATGGAAACACTGCAGGTGCGTGAAGATGCTCTGTTATATTGTGTCTGCTGCTGTTTGCATGTTAAAATGAATCAGTATTTTAAAATGCAATATTTAATTACATTTTTTTTATTAAATAATAATTTAATATTAATCTGACCAGTTAACGGTTAAATTTCGGTTAACAAACGCCGGTTGTTGGTTGGCAAAAATAACCGAAAAGAGCATCCCTATTTCATTCTATGCAATTATTGAACATTAGCATATGTCTGGAAACAATAATGCATGAAAGCATCAAGTATAAGCCAGCCTCAGGACTTTTGCGCAATGCTGTACATTTATTGCTTTTTTCCCTCTGTGTTTGAGTTGAAATATGCCAAGCCACACAGAATTTACTCAGTAAATACAATAAACATATGCATAATCCTCGACTCTGACCTGATGTAGTCGTACGTCCTCCTGATCTCCACCTTCTAACAGAGCAATCTTTCTGCAGGTGCTCCGTCTCTCCAGCGTTCGCACGCCCACCCCATCCAGCTCCGTCAGCAGAACCGACAGAACCTGCGACTGCACGCTGTGGGAAGAAGAAGAGCCGTCCTCTCGAGAGCCCACCATACTGTCCACCTCATCCAGGAACACGATAGATGGAGCACACGCTCGCGCCTGAGCGAACAGCTGACCGGTAAACACACACACACACACCCTGATATTAGAGTGAACAGCTGACTGTCACACACACACTGATATTATGTGTCTGAGGCACATGTCCACACACACACAGGTCATTTTATAAAGAAAAAATGCATTGTGATGCATGTTAAAGCAGGGCTCCATATTTATTTTTTTGTTCTGGACTGTGTTAAATCATTCCCGAGTGCTGCGCTTTGCGTTTTTAAGGTGCAAAGATGCATTCTGTGTGAATGTCCCCTAAATTTGCCCATGCAGTGAACAGTTTTGCAGTGAAACTGGGTCACACAGCAACAATTTTATGCACTTGCACAAATGCAAGCAAATATATTTTAAGTTTGCATAGATTAAGCTTCGAAAACAGCTGCAATTTTCTGTCCAGTGTAAAGGCACACCACCTTTTAAGGTATGTTCACACTAAGTCCGCATGAAACGGAAGTTGCTGAGTCTTTTAATTCAGTGTGTTGATGTACTTCACACTGAAACGAAATATTGAGTAGGGGGTGGGGCTTTCTTTTTTGCATCATTCCCTCATAGCAAACTAAAAGTAAGAGGGAATATTAATATACAGTTACTATGGAAACCCTTAATCTAAACCATCACAATCTGAATCCTTTTCATCAACAGAATCATTTCTGGACTTTTAAGAATTGATTCAGAATCACTAGAGAAAGAACTGCGATGCATCATTCATTTATTTTTCTAACACCGCTTGTAAAATCATCATACCCTGTGAAAACCTACACCTTTACTCACATTACAGCCTGCTTTGTGTGTGTGAGTGTCAGACCTGCGCCAGTGTTTTCTCGGAGTCTCCCACATAAGGAGAGAAGAGCTCGGCTCCACTGAGGGAGAAGAAGCTGCAGTGTGATGAAGAGGCGGCTGCTTTCACCAGGGTGGTTTTGGCACATCCGGGTGGCCCGTACAGCAGCACGCCTCTGGGTCGAGAGACACCCAAACGCACAAACGCTTCTGGAAACCTCATGGGCCACTCGATACTCTGAAACACACACACACACACACATCCAGCACATCATGAGCAGGGCTGGTGGATTACTTGTCAATTATTATAATCTGTTACTGCATGACAACATTTGAGGTCAGTGTTATGGTATATTATACTCAGTTCACACCAAACATGAAGCACTGCGTCACTCACTCTGGTTTCCCCTGATGCTAAATATTTAACTTGAGTACTATTATCTGAACTTGCACAGTAGACTCGATTGAGGCAAATGCATTGCACATCTATGATAATTCACCTCTATTCACACGTTTGCTTTTCAATACTTAATTGAACCATGTTTCGTGTGAACTCAGCATTAGATTACACGTTTATGGTAATGTAATCTGAGTACTTTTGCATTACATTTAGATTAGTTTTGAGCTAGCCTTTATGTAATGCCACATATATTGAAGCAGGATAATCCAGTGCTATTTAAATAGATAGAAAGAACAAATATCTTCATTTTTCATCAGCAACAAGAGCCTGAACAGCTTCTATTTAAAGTGCAATGATGGACCGTTAATACTTTACAATACTCACATGAATACACCTCGCTGTTAGTGTTTGCTGATAGTAACGCTTAATAAATATAATCTTATGATTTAAAAATATTTACTTAAAATTAAGGACATTTATAAAACAACAAAACAACAGAAAAACATGAAATTCACAGCAACGTAAGACATTGTTTATTTCAAACTAAACACACATTTGTGTCGTACCTGTTTAAGCTTGAGTTTGACGTCCTCGAGTCCGCCGATCTGCTCCCAGCCAATGGGTTTAAAGTCAGTCGCTCCAATGCTGCTCCTCAAACACGACGGCTGCACGTGTCGCAGTGCTTGCATGAAGTGCTGCATCGACACCGGCTCACTCGCCCCCATCTGAACCACAACACCTCATCAATACATATATAAATAAACGATTTGATGTCATTTAAATGATAGTAATTCCACCTGCGAGTGTCGCATAGCCTGCAGCGCTGCCTCTCTACTGAGCGCGCTCAGATCCGCTCCGACATATCCGCAGGTCATTTCAGCGAGAGTGTTCAGATCGACATCAGGAGAGAGCGGCATTTCTCGACACACACACTTCAGGATACTGCGTCTCTGTAGCAGCGAGGGAACGCCGATGATCACCTGCCGAACACACAATCATAACATAAGCTCTCGATTCAATAGCAATTCAAAGAAAGTTGTTGTTTATAGAGATGATTATTGCAGATTTCTTGGCCAGATTTTGGGGTAGATGTGACCTGCAGATCACATAATTGACAACACATTGAAAAAAAAAGTTAAATAAATTAGAAAAAAAGGTAAAAAAATTAAAATGTCAAAATTATTGCTGTCGGTCAAAATGAGGAGGAGGAGCAAAGAAGTTGACTAATGTCCAGGGAATCATCTTAATTATAAGACTACAGCTCTTTGGAATACTTGATTCTGATTGGGCAGTCACAACATTCAAAGCCATGCTATTCCCAGATAACACAGACACAGAAAGTTAGAATCATGCGCAGGTTAGTGTATAATCCATCAGCTGTTTTAGGGTGCTTTCACACCTGTGAATGGATTCAGTTGTTCTGAAACAGAGATTACAATTGTTATATTGTTGCTCTTTGGTCTTGGAGCTGTTCGCTTTCACACTGCAAAGTTTCTAATCGGACCAAAAGAGCTAAAACAAGTCACGTGTGAGTAAACTCTCCTCACATTGGTCAGAGTGTCAGGGTTTATTTTGCAGAGTCCCGCTCAGCTGTCAGGAGAGGTGGTGGTTTGGTGGTGATTGACAGTGTGCGTGCACGACGTGTCTGAGGAGAGATGCGGTGGGGAGGGTGAGAAGGGTGCGCGACGATGCCTATTTGAGGACCGGGAGGGAGACGCGAGATTACCGGGAGATCATCACTCGTTTGCGGGCATCCGGAGACTCGCGAAACTTCGCACCATACTCATAATTCTCTCTTCAAATAGCCGTAAGCCTATTACATATCCATAAACACTGTTATATAACCGCGCTCGGATCATATCGCTTTCTCACTGTAATCGATCCGCTCCAGGGTTCGTTTCATTCGAGCCAAGACCAAATCATTCAAGCCATCTCGGAGCGATTACTTTGGCGCGGAACAGAGTGCGATTGCCCTGTTCACATATGCCAAACGAACCGCGCTAACTGGGCAAACGAGACACGTTCCGATACAAAAGTGTAGGTGTGAAACCACCCTTACACTGTCTCCATCTAGTGTCTGAATATTGTGCAGGTTAGTGTATACTCCATCAGCTGTTTTAGACTGTCTCCATCTAGTGTCTGAATAATGTTCAGGTTAGTGTATACTCCATCAGCTGTTTACATTTGTGTCAGTTTTGCGTTTAATTAAAGTACTAATATACTATTATGACTCAGAACAATGTTTAGAGTCTCATTTTTATGCTTCGTGGCCAGTAGTGGGATACTGTACATTCAGACGGTTGTTATCTCAGAATAAACCCTTCTACAGCAGTGCAGCGCTTCACATCGGACTGCTGATAAACCTGTCAGGCTTTATTCTGAGATAACAACCTGCTGGATCTACTTTATCCCTGACACATAATTACCTCTCTGTCGAAGCGTCCGGGTCTCCTGAGTGCTGGGTCGAGAGAGTCCGGCTGGTTTGTGGCTCCAATAATAACGAAGCCTTCATGGCTGCCGATGGCGTCCATTAGCGTTAGCAGCTGCGCGACTAGCCTGTTTTCTGGAGCACTGCTGCTCCCTGTCCTGCGTGGGCACAGCGAGTCGATCTCATCGATCAGCAGAACACAAGGACCGTCATCAGCAGCGTCTCGAGCCTGTTCAAACACTCGCCGCAGGTTCTCCTCGCTCTCTCCGGGTCGAGACCCCGTGACTTCTGGCCCGTTCACAGTCACTAAAGTCGCCCCGATGTCTTTAGCCACGCAGCGCACCAGCAGGGTCTTCCCCACGCCAGGCGGCCCGATCAGCAGCAGGCCCCGTGGGCAGGACAGACCCAGCTGACGCAGACTTCCAGGATAACGCAGCGGAAAGGTGATCATTTCCTTCAGTGATGCAAACACATCCTCCATGCCACCGAGAGGCGCAGCTGAGACCTGCTGCTGCTGCCTGTCCAGGTGTTTGACCGTCTGTATTGTGCTAATATCCACACAAGTTCGAGCGGTTATCAGACCTGCTCTCTGCGAGCCCGAGTTCACCTTCTCAACCAGCACACACCTGATCTCCGCCTTCACACCTGAAATAGGAGGAAATTCAGTATTTCAATATCTCATGATAATGAAAATGCACAGTATTAAGTGATATAATGTGAAAAGTCGGAAGCAGTTCCTATAGAAACGAAATATTAAATGAGAAAACAGTAGGCGTGGCTTGTTCTACCGTGAGCTGATTGGATGTAGTAAAGTAGGCGTTTCAGATGGGGAAAAGGGTCTAGGTTGAGTTATTACAATAGACTCCTCCTCCTCCTCATCATTTCTGTTTGTTGTCAAAAAAGACAGCTGAGGGGCGTGGTTAAGTGTCTTAGCCAACTAGATCTCCCCAAATAATACCGTATACAGTCGCAGTTCTAGTTTAAATGGCACCCTAGGCGAAGCCACCCCAAACATCCCCCTTCCACCATGCCCCAAGAAATAAATACACTATGTGGTTTACTTTATATATATATATTTAAAAATACATTTTAAATATATACATTTAAAATAAATATTATAAATAGGCCCACATTTAAATATATTTATCTGTTTTAAATAAATATAACAATTTGTTTATTATTATTATAATTATTGTTATACAGCTATTATTCTAAACATAAATCAATTCTAAATAACTGAAAAACAATGGTAAGACACAACTGGAGTAAGATTCTAAGATTTTTGCATGAATATTAATTATGTCAGTTGTATAGAATACGAAATATATATGTTTTACAGAATTATCTGTTGTCTTAGACTCGCCGCATGGCCGAGAATTAATATTATGAAGTCTTAGTTACCTCCCTGACTCGTTATTCCTCCTTTCTGCTTCATAGCCATGCTTAGTCAAAGAATCATCATCATATTATATTAACTTTAGTTTTGTTGACTTGAATGTCGACGCATATCGGCGGGCATGTAAGCAACTG